CCTAAATGCCTTTAAATATTTGGCCATATGTGAGTATCTGTTTTCTTTTAAAGTGGAAAGTTTGTTTCTAGCCATCTTGGTTGCATAGAAAAGCTTGAAAACATGATACTAGTGTATCCCCAGGGCTCAGAAACCAGAAAACTAGGAACTCCTGCCCCCCAATTCATTATTTTTGAAATTTCATGATTTAAAAGTCAAGCTCATGATTTCTGGGGACCCGACATGCTTTCTGAAACCCTTGGGGTTGGCAGCGCTGGATTTCAGAATCAAGATTTACCATGTTTGGTTGTGATTTTTAAGGGGGTCCAGATCTGTGGATGGGGCGGGGGTGGGGGGGAGCATACCATTTCTTTTTTCCCTTCCTTTTTTACTTGAAATAGGACAACTTTTGAGTGAGCATGGATTGAGTCTTCACTCAGACATGGGTCGATTCTGAAGCATAAATCCCACAAAGTTGTGGGTTTCAATTTCAGGCAAAACGGAATTTACACCAGAAACACGCAAAAACACTGTGTGCGACAATTTCATCATTTAGCAGAAATATGGATTTCAAACTCCTCCGGGCAGGCACCTCATCTCCATTTTGGTCTGTAGTGCACTCAACATGCTCTAGGTCAGGGTTTCTCAAACAAGGGTTGTCGCTTGTGTAGGGAAAGCCCCTGGCGGGCCGGGCCGGTTTGTTTACCTGCCCCGTCCGCAGGTTCGGCCGATCGCGGCTCCCACTGGCTGCGGATCGCTGCTCCGGGCCAATGGGAGCTGCTGGAAGCGGCGCGGGCCGAGGGACTTACTGGCCACCGCTTCCAGCAGCTCCCATTGGCCCGGAGCAGCGATCCGCGGCCAGTGGGAGCAGCGATCGGCCGAACCTGCGGACGGGGCAGGTAAACAAACCGGCCCGGCCCGCCAGGGGCTTTCCCTACACAAGCGGTGACCCTTGTTTGAGAAACCCTGCGCTAGGTGCTATATAAACACACAATAACAGCATGTTGGAAAGTGGTGATCCAATGGGGTAATAATTTAAAGTAACAGCCAATACAAGCAGGGCCGGCTCTGGCTTTTTTGCCGCCCCAGGCGGGGGCTCCGCTCTCCCCCCGGCGGCCAGAGCCCCGGCGGGGGCTCGGCTCCCCCCCCCTCCGGCGGCCAGAGCGCCGGGGGCAGGGCGGCGAGCCCCGGCTGTGGCCCCGCTCTCCCTGGCGGCCGGAGCGCCGCCCCGCCCCCCTCCAGGTGCCGCCCCAAGCACCAGCTTGGTTGCCTGGTGCCTGGAGCCGGCCCTGAATACAAGAATACAGGCCTCAAGCGCCCAAAGAATGGCCTGCAAAGTTGAAATAACTGGTTTTGAAATGGACTGCTCTGCATTAGAGCTCCTTGCCCTCTTTCAGTGCCATTATGTGCAGTTAACTGACCTGTGGATGATTTCTGTTCTTCAGCAATCTGCTCCAATCTGCCCAGAAGAGCATCAATGTTGGATTTGATCTGTGTCAGCTCGGTTTTGATTGTCTGCAGCTCATTGCATTTCACTTCAAAGAAGAGAGGGAGAAAGACAGGCTTTATTCCACGTTGTTATTTTACATATTAGCGTTTGATTGGTTTTTAAAAAAAAAAAGATTTAGGATTAGTCACAAAACCCTAACAGAGCTTGGCAGCCACAGCAACAATGTGGAAATCTCCCAGAGACTGGGACGGGGGGAATGCAATCAGGGATAATCTGGGGTGTCTACTTGGGAACTGTTCTGTGTCACTGAAGAGATGGGGTGGGGACTGCTTAAATGGGACATATTAGGAAATGAGATGGATATAACTGGGGCAGCCAGCAATGCACTCCCAACAGGAGTTAGAGCTGGAGGCTGTTGTAACTGTCTAAATATTATGCACACACATAAACCCATTGCACAGAAATCCTGGGGCTGCTTGCCGGCCTGCTCCATTCACTGGGGGCCGGGTGGAACGCCGGGGGCCCTTTCCAAGAAACACAGACTACTGACAAGTGGGACAGGTTGAGACTTCTGGGAAAAGCCCATCGCCCCTTTGTTGTCCCAGCAGTAACCCGCTCCCTTCTCCTCTGGCCTGCCTTCCTGACGTGCTTCACTGCCTGCTGTAAGTTACTGACCATGCCCTTGGGCGACATGGTACCAACAACAAGGGGGAGACAGGAGGTTAAGCTGAGGCCTGGGTGGAACTGGTATGAAGCCAGCATGAGCTGGGAACCACCGTTGTAAGGCTCAAACAGTTCCTGGCTAGCAGCGCTCTCCTCAGTCTCCATGTTACACTCCCCATTCCCAGCCACTAGCCAGTAGCACAGTAACATTCCTTTCTCGGAACAAATTACAGTGTCCCATTCCTGCACACAGAGCTTTGATCGCTTGTGCCAGCAGAGTCTGGGAGCGGGGCTGCTGCTGTCCATACCAGAACTCACAGGAGCCTGCTGATGTTCCCAGCGCAGGCCTGCAAGTCCACGTTCCAGGACAATTACAAAGTCCCAAACTGACTTTGGATGTTGGATCTGTATACGCAGAGCCTGCGTTGGCATGTGCCAATGGGCATATGTGTGAGCAACTGGGCAGCTGTGCACACCAACAGGAGAGGTGCACAGCTACCCAAATGGCATGCACAAATGCACTGCCAGCAAATCTGGAGGGTGTAACAGACGCAGTTGCACATTTAGTACGTCTATTTGAGGCAGAGCCGTTGAAAATCCAGCCTGCATCTTCACCCCTTCCCTTTGGAGACCAGTGAGAAGGCTTGGGCTGATTATGACAGGACCCACTTGCTGCCAGTCACCTTAGGGCAGTGAGAGGCCCAAGACCTACATGCTGGTGCCCCTGGAGCAGGTATCTGGAGGGTCACATTTTGTACCTTACCCAACTTGTAGCAATGTTTGCCCCCCTGATTTTGGTTTATTTCACCCAAACCTGTCAGCAGGTGGCTGTGCTATTCCTAACCGGGATGTGTAATCCCGGTATCTTGGCCTTATCCACAGACTCCAGGTGCATGGTCATTTCAGCGGGTATACATTTACCATAGCTCCTTGTAATCCTTTGGGTGAAATCCTAGTCCCACTGAAGTCAATGGGAACCACTGACTCCCAGGATTTCACCCTTTGTACGACTCAGAACCTTGCTAGCTTCTCTTAATTCACCTCTTATCAACTACTGACTGTATATCGGTGAGTGAAAGTGAAACAACAGGATTTAAAAGAAAGGAAGGTCAGCGCATCCCTGAGTATTCGTCCTTGGTTTGTTTGGAAAAGCAGCGGAACATTAATTATTTAGAAGACTTCACAGTACATGTTGCATGGTATATTGTGTAAAGGTCTCAGGAATATGAGGCCTCATTATAGATCTGTGCCAATGAGTCTGGGTTGAGAGCTGGGGTGAGACTGACTTTATGAGTGTGAGTGATGGGGTATGCAAAATAGCCAAGTGTGAATTAGAAGGGCTTGCCTGTATACACACTGCATTTCATCCAGAGATCTTGCAGCTCCTTACAAAGTAGGTTGGTGTCATTATCCCCATGTTACAGATGGGGAAACTGAGGCACAGGACAGGGAAACTGACTTGCCCAAGGTCACGCAGTAGGCCAGTGGCAGAATTAAGAACAGAACCCAGTTCTTCTGAGTTCTGCTGCCCTGATCTCAGTAATAAACAATGCTGCCGCCTTATCGTTCCCAGCCACCTGCTCCCTATTATTGCAGGTGCCGTTATATGTGAGCAGGTACAGCTCGTTTTACTGGTGATCTGAGCCAAAGACCCATTCAGTCACTCTGAATATTAGGTTTACGTATTTTTATATTTTATTTTAATCTGTGGTAATTTGTCCCTGGGCTCCTGACAAATTACCAATATGACCCTTGCTCTTCCAAAGAATGAGCACCCTGCTCTGAATTCTGGGTCAGCTCTGGGTGTATTTACTTAGTGTAATTAAGGAGGAAGCACAATCTAATGGGTAGAGCATGGGACTGAGAGGTAGGACACCCGGGTTCTATTCCCAGCTCTATCAGTGACTTGTCCAATGATTTAGGGCAAGTTGCTTTCCATCTCCATGCCTCAGTTTCCCCATCTGTAGCATGGGGATAATAACATTCACCTGTCTCACAAGGGGGCTGTGAGGCTTAATTGATCAGAACTTGGGAAACGCTTGGAGTTTCTCAGCGGGGCAGCGTTTTATAATCTACTGTGCCTGTTTTAGTGCACTCAGTGATCGGGACATACAGGTGATTTGATGGGATGTTTGCACCTTGTCCCTTGTATTTGATCTAGCTGCATACATAATACTCACATTTTAATTTGGCAGAGCTGTTTGCAATGGCGGCTGATCTGGCGAAAAGTTTGATGGGGAGCGTTGCTTTTACGCGTCGGACTAAGGGGATGGTCACCCGGGGACGCTTCACAGGAACCACCCTGGGGACAGGAGAGACCCGGCCTCGATACTCGAAAAGCCTGTGTGTCAAAACAGGTTACAGTCTGCAAACAGTGGAGTGAAAGCCACACTTTCAGCATGAAACGGGACTTGGGAGATAGGCTAGCAAGAGCCACAAAGGGGAATGGTACATAATCATGCCACTAGAGGTTGCTGCCGCTACACACAAACGAACAGCCGCTGCATGACACCGTGAGTAGTGAGAGAAGGTGGGGGAGGTGATATCTTTTATTAGACAGACTTGTGTTGGTGAGAGAGAGACAAGCTTTCGAGCTTACCCAGAGATCTTCTTGTCTCTCTCACCCACAGAAGCTGGTCCAATAGAAGGTATTACCTCACCCACCTTGTCTCTCTAGTACCCTGGGACGAACATGGCTACATCACCACTGCAAACACCCTGCTTAGTGACAGAAAGGAGCCAGGACTCTGGCACACAGTTTGACTGTACACGTTTCAGCCCTTATGCTGGCAGTTTCTCTGCATGCTGAGATCACTCTCGCTAACCGCAGGTGGTCTGTTATTTACTGTGTTTTGTTACCCTGCCCCTGAAGGTTTTTGTTCTCAGAAATAATTGAGGGGGTCAGGACCCTGTAAGGGCTGGGGTGCACTTACAGGGGAAGGACCTTAGGTTCCTCTCCCCCCTTCCATTCTTCCCCTTCTCCTTCCTTTGCAGTTCCTCTCCCCTCCCCCCAACCTCCCAGCCATCCCTGTTTATACCCCGTGTCGCAGGGAGCTGGCAGGACGGAGGGGGCAAGTGACCTTTGAGATTGTCCATGGCCTGGCCTGGCCTCTGCTGTTGTGAGATTTGACACAAGCAGAGGGGATGCCAGGACATTTATCAAGGCTACATCCAGACAGGTGGATGCCCTGTTCCCTCCTCTCTGCCTCCAAACCATTCCCCTCCAGCCAAGTGGCATCTTTTCAACATGAGTAGCCACTAGCTTCAGCAGCGCTGAGCAGGCCAAGGATAACAGGACTCCCCAAGGCCCGGTGGGGGGATGGCAACCTGAGAGGCAGTGCGAGGGGAAGGGGAAGGCAGGCAGCTGAGGAAGGCTGGACGGCAGCCCGGGCATAGCCACAGAGCCCACTATGTAGAAACTCAACGGATCTGTTTAGGAGTCCTAGCCGCTTCCTTTACTGACGCGAACAGGCGTTTGCTCCTTGGTCTCCCTGCGGAACCAATGCAGCTCCAGCAGAGCAAACTGGAGTCTGCCCTGCTCCGTGTGGTGTTGGGCTAAAGTGTTCGTTAATTGCTGATCCCAGAATCTTTATTCCCGAGAGGGGGTTCAGCTCCATGCCTGAGGGTGAAACTCCCTCCCTGCCCGTGCAGACAGCCAGCACAAGGTCTCGGCGCCACTGACGGTGAACGTTACACACCTTTCTGGAAATCACAGAGAGTAACAGAGGGACCCAAAAAACCAAAGGCCCAGTCTCAGCTCGGCTTCTTTTACATTGCTGCTGAAGGGCTCCTAAGTGGTTCCTAGGCCTTGTGCTGTCTCTGCACAGGGGGGAACATCACCCCAGCGTTGCCATTTAGAAAAACACACCCTCCCACCTGTCTGCTGAGCAGCTTTGCGCTCCAAGACACAGAGGGACTGATCCTGTGAGGACCTGGGGGCATGAATGAAGTCAGTGGAAGTTGCGGGGGCACTCATGGCCCTGCAGCAGTCCCTGCCTGAGGAAAGCAGCACATTGAAAGTTACAGACCGGAGACAGGGACATATTTTGGTCTGTTTGTCCTTCCCTCACTGATTTCTAGAGTGGAGTGTGATATTCACCCCCTTTCCACCTTCCCATCCAACACCCCTCTTGTGTGGTATTCATCCACATACCATGCCCCCCCATTTCCAAGGATGGGTTGACTTGACCCAGCTCAGAACCATCTAGCTCAGTCTGGTCTGGGAAGGAAACATGGAGGTGGCTCCTTCTCTCACCTCTTCCCTGCTCCTTCTGCTTATCTCGCATGGCCACCTCTCAGTCTCACCCCACTTGGTGGTGCTCCTGTCTCCTGTACCTCCCTGAAAACTCCTCTTTTCTCCCACTGCCTCGCCTTTGCAAAGCCTCTCTCCCCCAGCTGTGCTGTTCTTTATTCTACTCTGCACAGCGTTTTGGGCTGTGGCTCATGGAGAAGCATACACAGAATACAGCGCTGCTGGCGTATCGCTCCTCCGCTCACCTGTCGTAGAAGTCATCTCTGTAGTAGTCATAGTCAAAGTCGTATCCACTGTAGAGACAAGAAGACGGAAAGCTCTGATTAATTAGCATTGTTACTATCACTATTGTAATTAATCTGTTCATGCTGTCCAATGACCTCAAATGAAACATTTTATGTAGTTAAAAATCCCAACCCTTTAGCTTCATCATATTCTAGAGCCGTGCTTTACAAGTGTGAATGTAACCAATCATCTGTCACAGTGGGCAGGTTCTGGAGCATAGGAACACAGGATCTGCCAGATTGGATCAGACCTGGGCTCCATAAAGCCCAGTTCTTGGCTCTGACAGTGACCAGCACCAGTTGCTTCATATGAAGGTTTAAGAACCCCATAATAGGCAGGCAGTTGTGGGATAATCTACCCCCATAAAGGGCTCCTCCTAATCCCTACCAGTTAGACTGGGTTAAATCCTGAAATGTGACGTTTTTATCCCCTCCAGAACTGTTTGTCTGCATTCACTGTTGTAACTCTGGGTGTTCGTGCTAACCAAATAACCACCTTGTTGAGTTATTTGCCTCAGCGTCATAGTGTGGCACCGAGTTCCACAGGCTAATTATGCATTGCGTGGAAAAGAATTTCCTTTCATCGGTTTTGAATTTGCCACTTTTCAGTTTCACTGAAGGTCCCATTGTTCTTGTGAGACAGGAAGAGCAGAAGTTCCCAATCTGCCTGCTCTGTCCTCTTCATTATTCTATGTACTACTATCATGATGCCTCTGACTCATCTCCTGTCAAATAAACAATCCCAGTCTTTTCAATCTCTCTGCATATGAGCTATTAGGAACTGATTCTGCCCTCACTTACATGGGTGTAGATCAGAGGTGACGTTATTAAAGTCATTGGAGTTACCCCAGTGTAAAATTGGTGCAAGTGAGCTCTGAATCAGGTTCAGCATTCGCTGGTGGGTTGACTTCTCCCAGATCAGAAGGATCTGGGTCAGCACAGCCTGGTCTGGGAAAGAAATATGTAGGTTGCGCCGTCTGCTTATCTAGCCTCTCTTTCTCATCTCAGGTTCTCCCCAGCTGGTGCAATAGCCTCCTCCTGCACAGCCCCTCCCTTCTAGGGCTGGCTCTGAGTAACCCCCTCTTAGGAGTTCAAGCCAGTTTTCCACTGGTTTTGTGTTTATTCTCCCCCTTTGCGTCCGCTGCTCTGGGCAGACCTCCCTGCTCTTCTGCCTAAGAGATTATGTACCCTCTCCCAAGCTGGTCCTGGTGGCTCCGGCATCTCTCTCCAGGCCTGCACTTTACTGCACAGCTGCCCTTTGCCATGTTTAGCCTTAACATGGATCAATTTCAATTTCCTTCCTCAGCCTTTGTCCCTGCTATTTTAATACGTATAATGCTTATTATTGAGGACATGCAGTTCTGCTCCAGCACCCTCATTACACCTGCTCCTAATACCTTTATAAATGATATTGACCTTTTCTCTGATAATCCTCCTCTTCGCTTTCTCCAGCAGCGTCTGCTGGGAGCTACAGCTCCTCAAAGACAAGGCCCACTTCTAAACGCTTCTTTCCTCCCCACGTCATGGGAAATACTAGGCAGGCAGTTTTCCTTACCAGGCAGACCATCTGCTTAGTTTCTACATAGCATGAAGTCAGTTCCCCCAGAGACAACACACACAGGCAATGTCTGCACAGGGGAAGAAGGATGAACGTGGCTGTCTGTCTATACTAGTCAGGTAGGTCAGAGTTGGGAGGGTGATCTGTACTTGGGAGGAGGGAGGCTGGGGAGCTGAATGCACTGGACAGGATGCTTGTCTGCTGTGGCATGTGCTTGCAGCACAACACCCCAGCCTGCATCCCAGCACTCCAGCAAGGACTCACTGCATAAGTGTTCATGCCAAAGCATCCATGCACTTTGTGCCCACCCAATCGGTGCCTGAGCATTGTCTGAGTAGCATGTGCAGGTTGGGGTGGGCCTGTATGGAAAAGCAAATGTGCACTTCTACACCCGCACTATGGAAAACATAAGTGCTTTAGCTAGAGTATGAGGCTGGGTAAAGTGGGAGCCAATCCGAGCAGTCATCCCACGTTCAGAACCAGCCCAAGTTCTTTCAGAAGTTCAAAGCATGGTTAACTTGTTGTTTTCTTTGCAACATGGCTCTGCAATTACTGGTTCGAACCATGATCAGAAATACTCCCTGTCCTCAGTGGTACCCATCTCCGATGGACACTAGTCTATTCTCAGGGCTGAATTAAGGCATAACATTTACAGCCCTGTGTCCAGCCCTGTGTCTAAGGCCCCAGCTTCTGAAGTCACAGGATTACATCATAATTTTAGCTCCACTTAAAACAATAAGTTTCTAGCCCTCCTTGTTGTGAATAAAAGCTTGAAAATGTAACCTGAGTGTATCTGATGCAATGATGTCTGCCTGAGTCTGCAGGCAGCCTGACACAACAGCACTGTGAGGTGTGAACTGCTCACTACTTTGAGAGGTCCTGCCAACACGACCCTAACAAAGAACTCTGTGTGTGACAGGGGAAGAAAAGTCCTGCTGGCCTATCCCTCCTACCCAAGCAGATTTACTCCAGCTGCAAGTATTGGGAAGCCCCAGTTGCTAATCCTTGGCGGAGAAAAGAGGGCCCCATGGCATTGCCTCTCTGGGACAGGACTTTGGGGGGTCCTGTGTTGTGGTGTCAGGAGGGACCCAGGTTACCTTTATCCGGCCCTGTCTGTCTAAGATTTCCAGCCCTCCTTCTAGACTGCAGAGTTTTGGAGAAACACCTGAACTTCTGGATGCTTATCTGAAAACCTCCTTTCAAAACATTCTGTCCCTAGTTTCAGCAAGAGTTTGTGGACTAAGTTAGTTCTAGGGCTGGTCTACACTAGCTTGACCTGGCTATGTCGCTCAAGGGTGTGAAAAATCCACACCCCAAGCGACGTAGTTAAGCCAACCTAAGTCCCTGTGTAGACAATACTAGGTCAAGAAGAATTCTTCCATCGACCTATCTACCACCTCTCAGGGAGATGGTTTAACTACACCGATGGGAGAGCCCCTCCTGTCGGCGTACATAGTGTCCACACTGAAGCGCTACAGCAGCACCTCTGTAGCGTTTCAGTTGTAGACGAGCCACAGTGTGAGCGAAGGGAAATAGAGGAGAGTCCAGGATCTCGTTGCCTGTGGCCTTGGTTACACTCCTGCACTCACGTGCTTCAGCATCTCTCCCTAGCATCTAATTCCCCATGTTTCTGCGTTACTCAGTCCTCCCTGCTGGGCTCATTGAGAGAGTAAATAAGTGTGAGGCTTGTGAAACAGGAAAGCAATAGGATTCGGCAGTCTGTCACACTGGAACCATATGGACACAGGCTGGTATTGTCCAAGGAGCCTAAGGTAGTTAGATACCCAACTCCTTTTGAATTCCAGTGGGATCTGGGCACTTCCTTCCTGTATTCTTCATGTATCAAGACATCCCCAGAGGAACAAGCCAGGCACTTTGGGCTAGATTCCCAGCTGATGTAAACTAGCCTAGTTCCTTTGACATCACTAGAGCTGCTCTGATTTACTCCGGGTGGGAGGATGAGTAAGGGGCAGCGGCAGCTAAAAGGAAGTTTAAGACACTGTTTCTCCTGCTGGGATACCGCCCATGGTCATCAGAACCAAACTGATGCTGTTTTCTTAGGCCTGAATTTCGATCAAGATGTGGTGGTTTGCTTGGCCAGAGAGAGAGAGAGAGAGAGAGAATATGTGCATGTGCACCCCAGAGGTGTAAATATTACATTTCTTGCCGTTAGTACACCCTGGAGACTCGATAACATTCTCTCCACACTGCAGCTGTTTTTCACAAGACAGGGGAAAACACTCAAGAAGCGCAGAGGACTTTCAAAGCACTTCAGAGACAGTGACTGCTTTGCTCAGGCCAGATATCCCGGCATGCTAACGTCCATGGCACAGCAAGGAAAATGCAGCTGCTGAATGTACCAGGATCATCCAGGTAAAACACAGCTGCTGCCAAATGTATCAGGTGCGTACCCGCTGTGCTGCTTATTAACACATCCACAGAGAAAGCAGCGACTATGCTGTTGACTAACAATATCACTTTAAGTAGGGAGAGGTGAACCAGGCTGAATAAAATAAAAAAATATTCCGGCAGAGGTTCATTCATCTGTGCTCCCAATGTCCTCTTGTGTCTCCACAACAACACTCTGCGCTATCACACAGGAGACCCAGCGTCTGTCTTGGGGGTACCTGGAGCACTCCTCTGTTTGGGGGGGCTGGAGGCGCCATGAGGTTTGTGGTTCAGGGAAGGTTTGGGAAACAGATTGCAGTCAGTGGGGCAGTGCTCACTGGGGTTTCAGATTCTGCTCTCTGAGATGGAAGGTTTCATAGAATCATAGAATCGTAGGACTGGAAGGGATCTCGAGAGGTCATCTAGTTCAGTCCCTGGCACTCATAGTAAGACTATTATCTAGACCATCCCTGACAGGTGTTTGTCTAACCTGCTCTTAAAAATCTCCAATGATGGAGATTCCACAACCTCCCTAGGCAATTTATTCCACTGCATAATCATCCTGACAGTTAGGAAGTTTTTCCTAATGTCCCCTAAACCGTCCTTGCTGCAATTTAAGCCCAATATTACTTGTCCTGTCCTCAGAGGTTAAGGAGAACAATTTTTTCTCCCTCCTCCTCCTTGTAACAACCTTTTATGTACTTGAAAACTGTTAGCATGTCCCCCCTCAGTCTGCTCTTTTCCAGACTAAACAAACCCAATCTTTTTAATCTTCCCTCGTACGTCATGTTTTCTAGACCTTTAATCATTTTTGTTGCTCTTCTTTGGACTTTCTCCAATTTGTCCACATCATTCCTGAAATGTGGCGCCCAGAACCGGACACAATACTCCAGTTGAGGCCTAATCAGCGCGGAGTAGAGCGGAAGAATTACTTCTCGTGTCTTGCTTACAACACTCCTGCTAATACATCCCACAATGATGTTTGCTTTTTCTGCAACAGCATTACACTGTTGACTCATATTTAGCTTGTGATCCATTAGGACCCCCAGATCCCTTTCCGCAA